CCTCCTCTCCTAACCCCCTCTCTTCACCCCCTCTACACACCCCTCTCCTCACCTCCTAACCCCCTCTCCTCACCTCCTCTCCTCACCTCCTCTGGGAAACACAATGTGTTCACATTCTTAATTTTCCCCTCACACAGTCTAGGCTAGAACTTTCTTCCTTTCTTTTTGGTTTTTCTCTGTAGCTTTGAAGCCTGTCCTGGAACTAGCTCTGTTTGTTTGATTATTATGTATACAATATTCTGTCTATTTGCTTGAACGCCAGAAGAGGGCATCAGACCTCATTAGAGATGGTTGTGAAGTACCATGTGGTTGCTGGGAATTGAACTCAGGACCTTTGGAAGAGTAGGCAATGCTCTTAACCACTGAGCCATCTCTCCAGCCCCGGAACTAGCTCTTGTAGACCAGGCTGGCCTTGAACTCACAGAGGTCCACCTGCCTCTGCCTCCCTAGTGCTGGGATTAAAGGCCTGTGCCACCACTTAGCTAGGCTAGAGCTTTCTAAGAACAGATAGGGCAGTACTATTTTTTAAAATAACCTATTTATTCTTATTTTATGTACAATGGTGTTTTGCTTGCATGTGTGTCTGAGTGAGGGTGTCAGGGCCCCTAGACCTGGAGTTACAGACAGTTGTGAGCTGCCAGGTGGGAATTGAGCCCAGATCCTCTGGAAGGTCAGTCAGTACTCATAACTGCTGAGCCATCTCTCCAGCTCTGGGCAGCACTCTTTACACCAGTTCTTGACATGTTTTCATACCGGGTCTTAGTGTGCAACCTTGTGGAGACTAGTACATCTGGAACTCACAGACCCATCTGCCTCTGCTATCATGCCCGGACTCCATTGTTTATTTACAGGTCTGTGTCCTCTCCCATTCAATCCTCAGAACCTCAGACTGAAGTTCTCGGGAAAAAGAAACTTGTGCTGGGTACAGTGCTGGGCTCATAGTGAAAGTCAGTAAATGCTTGGTGCAAATGACCCGGAAATGTCTCCCTGGGAAGGAAATTAAATTGCTTTTCCAAATCTTCATGCACGCGCGTGCCTGTGCACGTGCGCGCGCACACCCACACCCACACACCTTTTCAAATAGGTCTTTTTATGTGGCCCTGGCTATCTTTGAACTCATGCAGATCATGCTAGTCTTGAACTCTTGGAGATCTGCCTGCCTCTGTTTCTAGAGTGCTGGAATTAAAGGTGTGAGCCATCAGGCCTGGCTCCCTTTTTACATAGGGAATTTCTTAACTATTTCTGGCTAATTACTCTAATCTCCAGTTACTATTCTCTGATTTTCCTTAACTTTAATATGCTTATTAACCGAGAATTGTTTTCCTTCCGAATTCTCCTTTCTGGCAATTTCCAAACTCCTTTATATATAGTGTTTTTGTCTCCTTTTTTATTTTTTATGGTTTTAAATATTTTTATGGTTTATTTAACTTTATTTTATGTGCATGGGTGTGAAATGTCAGATCCCCTGCAACTGGATCTTCAGACAGTTGTGAGCTGCCATGTGGTTGCTGGGAATTGAACCCTGGTCCTCTAGAAGAGCAGTCAGTACTCTTAACCACTGAGCCATCTCTCCAGCCCCTTCTCCTTCCTGTTTTTTTTTTAAATACATATTTATTTTTTATGTGCCTGGGTATTTTGGCTTGCATGTATATCTGAATACTACATGCAATGCCTGAAGAAGCCTGAAGAGTGTTCAGTGTACAGGAACTGGAGTTAACAAGGCTGATTTGAGCTACTATGTGTGTGCTAGAGAGGCAGCCAGTGCTCTTAACTGCTGAGCTATCTCTCCAGCTCCTCGGATAGATTAGATAGCTAGATAAGTAAATAGTTTGTTTTTAGACAGTCTAAAGTATCACTAGAATAGCTTCAAACTCATTACATAGCCAAAGATAGATACCACCCCCCAAGCTGGGCGGTGGTGGCGCACGCCTTTAATCCCAGCACTCGGGAGGCAGAGGCAGGCGGATCTCTGTGAGTTCGAGACCAGCCTGGTCTACAGAGCTAGTTCCAGGACAGGCCCCAAAGCCACAGAGAAACCCTGTCTCGAAAAAAACAAAAAAAAAAAAAAAAAAAAAAAAAAAAGATACCACCCCCCTGCTCCTCCCAAGACAGGGTTTCTCTGTAGCTTTGGACCCTGTCCTGGAACTAGCTCTTGTAGACCAGGCTGGCCTCTGCCTCCCTCCCGAGTGCTTGGATTAAAAGAGTGCACCACTACTGCCTGGCTGCCAAAGATAACCTTGAGCCCCTGATTCTCCTGCCTCTACTTCCCAAGTCCTGGGATTGATCATGCGTAAATTGTCCGTGTGGCTCTCCAGCCAGGGCATCCTGGATAATACAACTACTCCGTCAACTGACCCACACCCTAAGCTAGTTTGTTGTTGAGTCAATCTCACACTGGCCTTGAAGTTTTTCAAATCCTCCTGCCTCTGTCTAAGAGCTGGCATTATGGGTATTAGCCACTTAGCTTCTTGTTCTTTTTTAATATTTAGTAAACTGGGGCTGGAGAGATGGCTCAGTGGTTAGGAGTTTGAGCTGCTTTTCTGGAGAACCTCTCACCCACATCGGACAGTTCACAACTGCCTAGAATTCCAGGTCCAGGGCATCTGATGCTCTCTTCTGACCACCATGACTACCTGCACTGACATGCATATACCCCGCTACAGACAAATAATTTTTTTTAATTTTGTTTATTTATTATGTATACAATATTCTGTCAGTGTGTATGCCTGCAGGCCAGAAGAGGGCACCAGACCTCATTACAGATGGTTATGAGTCACCATGTGGTTACTGGAATTTGAACTCAGGACCTTTGGAAGAGCAGGCAATGCTCTTAACCGCTGAGCCATCTCTCCAGCCCCGACAAATAATTTTTTACATAATAAATTTATTTAATTTTTTATTGATATTTATTGAGTTCTACATTTTTCTCTGCTCCCCTCCCTGCCTCTCCCCTCCCCACTTCAATCCTTCCCCAAGGTCCCCATGCTCCCAATTTACTCAGCTCTTGTACAGACAAATAATTTAAGGTAAATCTAAAAACACAGAGAGAAGATTCAATAAATTTTCACTTAATATAAATTGGCTAAAACATCATGGTTCCCCATTCTGGTCCCCAATTCTCCCCTTCTTGCCTGGCCATGCAACTGCCCCAAACATAAATGACTTTTGTGCAGGACAATGCAGGACCTCTCCTTGCTGGCCTTGAGCAGCAGGAGGATGTATTTTCAAGCTATGTTTGAAGAATCTGACTTCATAAAGCCTCACTGGAGTCGTTTGCCTAAGTGATACAATGTAATTAGCATTCCTTTCCTTAAACCTCCAATATTAAATAAGCCACAAATGTCTTCAAGTGAAGAGCAAGGAGGAGGCATGGGGAAGGACGAGTACAGGGCAACAAACACGTGACACGCTCCTAGTGCCACCCGACCCGAAACCACAGGCGCTCCCAGAGCTTCGCGGGCTCCCGCGGGTGCCGGTGAAGCCCAGGCGTACTCCGAAAAGGGCCGGGTGTGCGAGGGCGGAGCCCATCAGAGCCTGGGAAGTGACGCAGGACGTGCGTGCGTACGTGCGTGCGTGCGCGCTCGCTCACGGCAGCGGCGGCGGAGCGGAGAGGCCAGAGCCGGAGACCGAGCTGGGATCGGGCCCCGGGCGGGGGCGGTGCGAGAGGCGCCGAGCGGATCCTGGGGGCGGGGACGGAGCCCGGGCGGGCGGGACTGGAGCAGAGCCCGGGAACGGGGCGGGAGGTCCCAGGGCCCCGGGTTGGGGGGTGGAGCCGCACTTCGTCGCCGCGGGGGTGCCGGGACTCCGGCCGCAGTGCCGCCGCCATCACGGACTTCCTGTGGGACAAGCGCACGGGCCTCGCCGCCAGAACGGTGAGCGCGCGGGCTGACGGACCTTGGGGCCTCGGAAAGATGGCTACCACCAGACGGGCGGCGACGGGATGAGGCGAAATTAGGAATGTTGGGCTCTGGAAGTAGCTGAGTAGTAGCGCGATTAGAGGGAGGGAGGCCGACCGCTCCGGTGTAGCGACGAAACCTATAGTAAACTTGGAGGGAGCCGTAGAAGTGATGAGGTAGGGACAGGAGCGGTCCCAGTCGTGCAGAAGTTGGCCCAAGGGTTTCATTGGAACCGAGAAGTGTTGCTTGAAGTGTATAGGAAGAGTTTGACTCCAGGGAATTACCAGCGTTTTCTGTGTAAGAAAGAGGGAAGCAAGATTTAGGAGTTGAGAAAGTAGATTGGATTGACTTTTCTAGGAAGGACCCAAGTGACTTTGTAGACAGGGTGTCCGAAGTGAGATGGCATTTATGTTAATTAAGTTAGTCAAGATTGAGTTGCCTGGGAAAGGCTCCTGCTTCCATCTTCTTGTTTTGCCAGCCACTTTAGGTCACCTTTCTTAATTTAAGGAGGTTGGGAGGAAGTGGCCCAGAATGGCAACCAGATGTTGGAGTTAAACCTGCAAACCTCATGTTCTCGGTCCTGGGCCAAAACTCTACCTGAGATTCATTCTACTGAGCTTGTTCATTGCTTTTCTGGAGTGGAAGAGTGATTTTGCTCTGATTTTTTTTTTTCCCTGACCGAAAAATTACTTATGAACCTAAGCAGTCCAGTTTTATTTAGTGGAGGCCCAGTTATTAGTTATGTTAGTTCAAAACTAGTTATTAGGCTGGGGGTGTAGCTCAGTTGGTAGGATGGTTCTCACTAGCATGCTTGAAGCTCTGGGTTGATCTCCAGCTAGGTAAAGTCAGACGTGCCGGGGGCTGCTCTGTAAGTTCTTCTCTTGGAAGAGAAAGTAAGAGGGTCAGCTGTTCAAGGCCATCCTAGGTAGCACAACAAAATTGAGGACAAGCTGGGTGGTGGTGATCCCAGGGCTCAGGAGGCAGAGAGAGGCGGATCTCTGTGTGTTCAAGGCCAGCCTGGTCTACAATAGCTAGTTCCAGGACAGGCTCCAAAGCTATAGAGAAACCCTGTCTCGAAAAAAAAAAATTGAGGACAGCCTAGGATATGTTAGTCACACTTCACACACACACAAAGAAAAAAGGAAACAAGTGTGGTCTCATCTAAGACCAGAGACTAGGAAGATCTCTGAGTTCAAGTTCAGCCAGGTTTACATAAAAAGACCTTGTCTCAGGGGAGAAAAAAGAGTCAAGCTTGCTGGCACACACTTTTAATCTCAGCATTTGATAGGCAGAGGCAGGTGGCTCTCTTGAGTTCGAGGCCAGCCTGGCCCACACAGAGTTCCAGGAGGGCCAGCATTACCAAGAAACCCTGTCTTGAAATGTCGAAAGAGGAAAAGCCCAATTATTTTCTACCTAGTAAATACAGGGTGGTAGGGAAGATACAGATGGACAGCCACTTTGTGGTGCTGTTCACAGCTTTGTCAGAGGTCTGGACATTTATAGGACCACACCCTGGTCCCTGGAACTGGATTCCTGCCCTTGTACTCCTAACGGAGGAGTGCAGGAGGGGGAAGGCTTGTTGTTAATAACTAAAGCAGTTGTGTAAACTAAAGCTGTATTTTGTTTGCTTGTGAAGAACTCCGGAGGGTACAGCTGCATATAGATTGCAGCAGAGATGGACTGTGGCAGTATTTATCAGTCACATACTTGTCACCTGTCATGAACTGTGGCTCAGACCTGAAGGTCTTCATGGAGTCACATTTGAGGTAGAGCAATTGAATTTGACTTTCTCGACTTTTCAGCCAGAATTTGTAGGTGGTTGTGTAGTCTGTAAAGGAAAGTTGTAGACACAAAGACAGAGAAATCCGTGTACTAGAAAGCATAAGAAGGCAGCTTTGTATCTCCAAAAGTCTGCAGTCCCAGAGAATGTTTCTGAACACTCAGAATGATCCTTACCATTCTGCTTTTCCTTCCCTCCCAGATGCCTCATCCCCGAAGGTACCATTCCTCAGAGCGTGGTAGCCGGGGGAGTTATCACGAACACTATCGGAGCCGAAAGCATAAGCGAAGAAGAAGTCGCTCCTGGTCAAGTTCCAGTGACCGGACAAGGCGGCGGCGGAGGGAGGACAGCTATCACGTTCGGTCCCGAAGGTGAGCCCTCGGGAAGAGAGACTGATTCCAGGTCACAGGTTTATTCATTTATTTAATAAATGTTGATTGGTAAGTAACATGCTGAAGCCAGTGGGCAAAGTGGCCGAAGTGACTTGGGGCTAGGTCTGTACTTCTGTGGTAGAGCATGTACCTAACATGCATTTGGTCCTTGGTTCACTTCCTGGCATTACAAATATATATATATACTTCCAGTACTTGGGATGATGAGGCAGGATCAGTTCAAGGCTTCTTTGGACTTCATACTGAGTTTGAAGCCAGTGAAACTCTCAAAAAATTTTTTTGAAAGATGGTAGAGGAAGTACTTAGGGAGGGAAGCTGCACCCACCAGGTTTTGTTGGAATGGGTCTGGATGTATGTAATTAAGAAGAAACATACTTTTTTCCCCTTCTTAAATTTTATGTGAGTAAGTGTTTTGCCTCCATGTCTGTCTTACATTACATGTATCTCTGGTGCCTTCAGCACCAGAAGAAGGTAGGTGTGGAATCCCCTAGACCCGGAGTTATAGATGGTTGTGAACCTCCCTGTGGGCAATGGAAATTGAACCCAGGTCCTCTGTAAGAGCTGTCTCTTTAGCCCGCTTCCCACTGTCCCTGAGACAAGCTATCACTGTGTAGCCCTGGCTAGCCTAGAACTCACACAGATGTGCCTGCCTCCCCCACTGGAGCCCTGGGATTAGTGGTGTGTGCCACCCTGCCTGACTCACGGAGAGCCTTGTGCGAAAGGGACACCTAAGCTGGCCTGGTGGGACAGATGAGAATCAGTGGTTGAAATGTCTTCAGTGGTGAGAAGTGCATGCCATATACTAACAGCTAGAGAGCTGCTGAGCCAACATGAAAGTGAGGCCTGTGGGGTGGGGCTGGAGAGATGGCTCAGTGGTTAAGAGCACTGACTGTTTTTCAGAGGACCCGTGTTCAATTCCCAGCACCCATATGGCAGCTCTCTGCTGTCTAGAACTCCAGTTTCAGGAGACTTGACACTCTCACAGAGACATTCATGCAGGCAAAACACCAATGCACATAAAATAAAAATAAATTAAAAAAAAATAATTCCGTGGTATGGAGAGGAGTGGGTTGGGTTAGAGCAAGGCCACATTTCATCTGGAAACTTTAGAGAGCAAGCAGGTTTTGGGTTCTGTGTCATTGGACAGGAGGAGCCCCAGAGGATGTCTGCAGGTGCTTCCTCATGTTACTCCTATGGTTCTTCTTTTCCTAAGATAGGACCTTGTCGCATGGTGTGACAGGAAATGTGGCCTGGACCTTACGGGTGTTTGTTATCCAACAGCAGCTATGATGATCACTCATCTGATCGGCGGGTTTATGATCGTCGGTACTGCGGCAGCTACAGACGCAATGACTATAGCCGGGATCGAGCAGAGGCCTACTATGACACAGACTTTCGGCATTCCTATGAGTACCATCGGGAAAACAGCAGTTACCGAAGCCAGCGCAGCAGCCGGAGGAAGCACAGGCGGCGGAGGAGACGTAGCCGCACATTCAGCCGCTCATCTTCAGTGAGTGCCAGCCTGGACCTTTACTCTCTATTCTTTTTCAGTCCCTCAGGGACCCTGGTAATTAAAGTCCCCTTATTCTCACTCATGCTTTGAAGCATGAGCATTGGAGTGGGTACTGAGTGTGCCTATCCTCTTGGGAGCTCTGCGACTCTCAAGGGGCCCCAGATTTACTTTGGAGAGAGAAGGGCATGAGACATTTATGCCCTAAGTGATAAGTTGAGCTTGTGTTGGGAGCAGCTACTCTGCCCAGAGGCCTCTATTTTTTATGAGGGCCTTTGTTTTTTAAGGCCTCTATCTCCCAAGCCCTGGGCTCTGTGGCCCCTCAGGCGAGTTTGGGTTGGGGGGCAGGGGAAGACTGCATCTGCCTAGAAGGGTGCTTCATAGAGCATGGGGTTGTGGGTAACACTGGCAACATCATCAACATTTTCTGCTCTACCCGTGCCTTCTTCCTGTCCTGATTTGGGTTTGGGGACTTGAGATTATGCGCCGCTCTCTCTTCTCACACCAATCCGCCTTACCGCATCTGACGTGTTCCCTTCCACTGTCCCCCATCATCGTCTGTCCCCCCTGGCTGGGCGCCTGTGACCGGTGACCCCTCCACCACCCACCCCGACTCCCTTCGGCCCCCGATCCGACACCTGGCTTGCTCCGACCCCCCCCACCCCCCGACAGCAGCCCAGCAGCCGGAGAGCCAAGAGTGTAGAGGACGACGCTGAGGGCCACCTCATCTACCACGTCGGGGACTGGCTACAAGAGCGATGTACAAGCCAAATCGTAACAATCCTATAGCCTGTAATGGTCCCATAGTCATCTTAACGTCCCATGCCAACCCAAGTCACAGCCTCTTTTGCCTTTTCTCAGTGGTGTTGCTCATCTGGGTGGTTTGAGTTGCTGTTGAGAATTGACTGTTGTCCGCTCCCAGCTCTCATGGCCCCTGGGTTAAAGGTGGTGGGAGTCACACAGGGGTTTTCTTCCCCTGCAGCCATCTGTGTCTGTTCCCCCTTCCTTCATCTCCTCACCCCAGGCTGCTGTGCCCTATTTCCTTCCAGCTCATCTCATTCCCCCTTTTCTCCCTCCCTCTCCCCGACCCTGCTTTCTTTCGTTTCAGATGAAATTGTAAGCACCTTAGGAGAAGGGACCTTTGGCCGCGTGGTGCAGTGTGTGGACCATCGCAGGTAACCACTGGCCTGCTGCTTGCTCCACATCTGTTAGGCATGGAAGATTATGAGGGCATCAAATTGTTGGTAGTTTAGACAGACAGAATTTCTTAGTATTTACACTGACCCAGTCAGTCTGAGATGTCCTTGAACCCAACAGACGCCTCCCCTGTTGACCTACAGGGGTGGAGCAAGAGTTGCCCTGAAGATCATTAAGAATGTGGAGAAGTACAAGGAAGCAGCCCGACTAGAGATTAACGTGCTAGAGAAGATCAATGAGAAAGACCCCGACAGCAAGAAGTAAGCAAGCAAAGGCGTGTGTGTGGAGCTAAGGGCTCCACCTCCGGAAGGAAGGAAGACTCCAGACAGGGCTAGGCAGGCAGGAGAATATAGACCTTCATGTCCGTCCGTCCGTCCGTCCGTCCGTCCTTCCTTCCTTCCTTCCTTCCTTCCTTCCTTCCTTCCTTCCTTCCTTCCTTCCTTCCTTCCTTCCTTTCTTTCTGACATGGTTTTTCTGTGTGATTCTTGCTGGCCTCAAACCTCCTTACAGAACAGGCTGGTCTTGAGCTTGCAGAAATCCTCCTGCCTCTGCCTCCTGAGTGCTGAGATTAAAGACGTGTGCCACCACACCCAACCCATTCAATTTTTGATCATATAAGAGTAGGAAACCAGCAGTATGGGTCTGTGACATTCTTTAATCCCCCGCTTGTCTTTATCACATTTAGATTGCTCTGCAATCTGGGCATGCCCCTGGCAGTGATGAACATCACTATTGATGATCCTAGCCACTTGGAAGAGAGGAAAAGACAGATTGGGAGCGTAAAGCCTGGCTGGGCTACAGAGCAAGCCTGAGAATTTAGTAAGACCTTTTCCCACAAATGAAAAAGGTGCTGGAGGTGTAACCCAGGGATGGAGTGCCAGCCAACTATCTTACAGAGTCTTAAATTCAAACCCCAATACAACATACAGACACAAAATTTGTTCAGGAAACTGAGGCAGGAGACTCAGATGTTTGAGACTAGTGCTAGAGAGGTCACTCAGTAGTTAAGAGTGTATGCTGCCGTTGGGTAGGACCGGAGTTTAGTTTCCAGTACCCATATAGAAACTCAAAATAATTTACAGGAGCCAGGCAGTGGTGGCACAGGATTTAATCCCAGCAGAGGCAAAGGCTGGCAGATCTCAGTTCACAGCCAGCCTGGCCTACAGAGTGAGTTCCAGGACAGCCAAGGCCATACAGAGAAGCCCTGTCTCAAAAAACAAAACAAAACATAGATCTAAGGAAATCTAGCATCTCTGGCTTCCTCAGAAATCTGCAGTCTCGTGCCCATAACTCACACCTAATTACAAATAACATTTTTAAATGCAGTGGGATAGAGTAGGAGACCCTTAGTGGTCCTGAGTGCTAACTGAAAAGTAGCAGGCTCTAGACCTTCGTTGAGACTGTGGGCATCTATGTGGTCCACACAGTTCATAGACAAGGCATTGCATAAACTTATGATGCAAAGGCTTGGTTGTTTTGTTTGTTTTTTGGGCAGTATCTCATTGTAGCCCAGGCTAGCTTCTACTCAGTTTTGTAGCCAAAGGCAAGGATAACTTTGATTCTTAATCCTCTTGCCTTTATTATAGAAGTGTACCACCACACCTAGTTTTATGTGATATCGAGTATTAAACTTCTGTGCATGCTGGACTATATCATTTATATATGATTTAACCAAACAGTAAATGTAACCTTGGGCAGCACAGTGCTGATATGAAATGTCTGGCATTAGAGCTGGGATACATGGCATATTAATTTGAGACCAGGGTGGGCTATCTACGAATTTCTAGGTCAGATTGGGCTACAGTGAGATCCAGACTTAACTGAGAATCCAGAGTGTTTGGAATTTGGTGTTAATAGCTCTTCAACAAATAGGGGTAGGGGAGCTCATTTGTTTATTTGACACAGGGTCTAACTACATACCCCAAGCTGTCTTCAAATTCATGGTGATCCTCCTGCCTCTGAGTTCCTGAGTGCTCTGACAGCAGGAGTGCATCACCACACCTCGCTTAAAAAAATAGGGTTTTTTTTCCTTGAGGGTTGGGATTGATCATGAGTTCTTGCATAATAGGCAAGTTCTGTCTTCTGAATTTCAGCCCCAATCCAGCCAAGAAGTTTTGAACTACTTAAAATTATATAAAAATATGTTTGGGAGTTTGGCAGGTAGAGGTTTTTGTTTTGTTTTGTTTTTTTAAGTGACAGGGCATCACTTAAAAATGTGCAGGCAAACCTCAAACTCATTCTGCAGTTGAGGATGACCTTGATCTTATGATTCTCCTGCCTCCACCTCCCCAGGGCTGAAACTGCAGGTTCATGTCAACATAACTGTTAAATATAATGCTGCAGGTGGAACCTTGGGTCTTGTGCATGCCAAGTAGGCGCTCTACCAAGTGAGCGACATTCCTAGCCTTTGTTAGTGATATTAACTGGCATGTTTTTATACAACTGGAATCAACAACCGAGCAGTCCTTCCTTTTGGTGGGGTGGTGGGCTATTGGGATCATATTAGATATCCAACTTCCCCTATCTTTTCTCAGCCTCTGTGTCCAGATGTTTGACTGGTTTGACTACCATGGCCACATGTGTATCTCCTTTGAGCTTCTGGGCCTTAGCACCTTCGATTTCCTCAAAGACAACAACTACCTGCCCTACCCCATCCACCAAGTGCGCCACATGGCCTTCCAGCTCTGCCAGGCCGTCAAGTGTGAGTGGGGTGGGCTGAGGTGGACTCTGGGCAGCGCTTCCTTCTATCAGACTTGGTCTGTATACTTGAGTGCTAGGCAAGCCCCTAACCAGTCAGTGTACCTGCACACCTGCGACTGTCTGACGTCTCTCCTGACGTAACTCCTTGACTGATGCCTTTCCCATCACTGGTTGCTCTCACTCCACACTCACAGCACAGCCCTTAGTGTCTTTTTCTCCCTTCTTTCTTGGAGAAGTGCTGGACAGCAGCACAGAAGTCCTCTTGCTGGAGTCTTAGGTTTGTGTAATGGCGCTCTTCACTCACACAGAGCACACGGGAGAAGACTGAATCATTCATCTGAGGTACCAGCCTCGGAGTGCAGAGTAACTGTTCCTCTGCGTCTTCACAGTGACACAGTTTGGGTTTGTTTGTTTTGGTTTAGTTTTGGTTTTTCGAGACAGGATTTCTCTAACTTTGGAGCCTGTCCTAGAACTAGCTGTTGAACCAGGCTGGCCTCAAACTCAGAGAGATCCGCATCTCTCTGCCTCCCAAGTGCTGGGATTAAAGGCGTGCACTGCCACCGCCCGGCAGTGATGCAGTTTTAATGAATTGAGTTTGCAGAATGTCTGATACTTACATAGATCAAAGTCAAGACCAAATAAAAACTCCCACTTGTAGCACACACTGCTTTCCATCAGATGAACTGTATATTTTATATTACTCAGATAAAGCTCAGACCAGGCATATCATTTAGTTGCAGAGCGGAAAGTAATCCCAGTGGAGTCTGGGCCTGCCTCCAGCTTTGTCCTTGGTACTCATTCAGGGGTCAGCTGCTGCAGTTAGCACTAGCCACCTGGATCAAGCCTGATCTAGCCTTCTCCCCTGCAGTCCTCCATGATAACAAGTTGACACACACGGACCTCAAACCTGAAAATATTCTCTTTGTGAATTCAGACTACGAACTCACCTACAACCTAGAGAAGGTAAGATGGACAAGGGCCACCCTCTGTCCAAAGGGGCAGACAACTAGGCCAGTTGGCTTTTGGTTAGCTGTGTTCTTCCTTTGACCAATTTCTCCCTGTCTGGCTTCAGCTGGGTAAAACCAGTGTACCCCAATAAATGTAAAGGGAACAGTTTAAGGAGACTTAAATTGAAGGACAATTTGGAACGTTTTCTGATAGGATGGAAGAGGCCGTGCTCTTTCTTGCAGATGAGCATTTCTGTGTAGTAGGAGAACAACTTGCCGGACAGCTTGAGTCTCAGTGCTAAAGGGCCTCCTCACTGGTTTTTGGTTTTTGTTGTTTTGTTTTTAGGTAGATTTTATTTATTATGTATAGTGTTCTGCCTGCAGGTAGACATGCCGGCCAGAAGAGGGCACCAGATCTCATTACAGATGGTTGTGAGCTGCCATGTGGTTGCTGGGAATTGAACTCAGGACCTCTGGAAGAGCAGCCAGTGCTCTTAATCACTGAGCCAACTCTCTAGCCCACTCCTTACTTTCTGCTACAAATTACAGATTTCCAAAACAGCACACCAGACACTTTAGTCGTTGAGGACTTAAGAGACTTCCATATTATTCCACAATTATTTCTTTAGTCTTCTTCCTTTCCTATTCTTGAAGTACTGCTGTAAGAGCTGGTGTGGTGGCACAAGCCGGTAGTCCCAGCACTTGGGAGGCTCTGAGGCACGAGGATTGCTGCAGGTTCAAAGCCTGACATGGCACATAGTGAAATCCTGTTTCAACATTCAATAACAAAATACCAGTAGCCAGATTTCCCTGGGTATATGGGAAAGGCTACATTTTTCAGACTCAAAAGCTCCTTAGTCTGTGAATCTCAGTCTGACAGAGATTCATTCCCGTCTGCTTTGCTCCTAGAAGCGAGACGAGCGCAGTGTGAAGAGCACAGCTGTGCGAGTGGTAGACTTCGGCAGTGCCACCTTTGACCATGAACACCATAGCACCATTGTCTCCACTCGCCATTACCGGGCCCCAGAGGTCATCCTTGGTAAGGGAGCTCAGGGCTGCCCAGTGTGTGAGGTGATGTAAGGGTAGAGTGTCCTAAGCAACTTAATACCTCTTGCTCCTCACCACACAGAGTTGGGCTGGGCACAGCCTTGTGATGTGTGGAGCATAGGCTGTATCATCTTTGAGTACTACGTTGGCTTCACCCTCTTCCAGGTAAGTGGTGGGGATATTACTGGGACACCTGGCATTCTTCTGCCCATTTTCTTGATCTGCTGAGGACATACTTACGCAGCCCTCCACATTGCCCATCTGGCAACTAGTCCCCAGCATTCCTTCCTAGTGCCATAATTAGTTCTATCTTTGTTTCCCAGACCCATGACAACAGAGAGCATCTAACCATGATGGAAAGGATCTTGGGTCCTATCCCTTCTCGGATGATCCGAAAGACAAGGTGAACCTTGAGCAGGAGGGGCTGCCCTTTTCTCTCCATGGAGTTTGTCTGTTGCACATAATTTTCTTCTCTCGTTGATGCCCCCGAACCCCTACGTTCTTTCACATGGTTAAACAAGGGAAAGCATTTTATAAAAGGGGAACCTTCTGATGCAAAAACTTCCCCTTCCCCTCTAGAAAACAGAAATATTTTTATCGGGGTCGCCTGGATTGGGATGAGAACACATCAGCTGGGCGCTACGTGCGTGAAAACTGCAAACCACTGCGGGTGAGCCCGGAGAGGGGTTTATGTTGTCCACACTCCAAAGGTTGCTTCCTTCTTAGGGTGGTCTGCCCCTGGAATGCACTTTATAAGCAGGAGGTTAGGACAGGGAGTATGGAAAACTGAAAGAAGATTTGGTCAACAATGGACAGAGAAGGGAGGAGGTTAGATAGCCTAACTTTGAGACATCCACAAGCCATAGCCATGTCCTGGATTCTTTAGGTTAGACAGAAAAAGAATAAGCCAGCTTTGAAGAGCTTATGCTTTAATGTGGAACTCGTGGAGTTGACGAGGATATGCAGTAAAACTTTGAACGACACTGTGCTAGTAGGAATGTACGTTGGTCACAGTGTGATTGTGGTGAGGTAGCATTCAAATCGCATGCAAACTGAGTCTTGGTTCTTTTTCCCAAAGGAAAGGTAGGGCTGTGAGGGAGGCAGAGAGCTAGGGATGGTGGCACAGGCTTACAATTCCAGCACTTGGGGTGCTGAGGCAGCTGCAGTGCATAGTTCCAGAACAGCTGGGCTCTGTAGAGATCTTATCTCACAGGGAGAATGGAAAGGAAAGAAAAATGATAGAAGTTTGTCAGGCAGCCCACTTTACCTTCTTCCTGCCCTCCACCAGCGATATCTGACCTCAGAGGCAGAGGAACACCACCAGCTCTTCGATCTGATTGAAAGCATGCTAGAGTATGAACCTGCTAAGCGACTGACCTTAGGTGAAGCCCTCCAGCACCCTTTCTTCGCCTGCCTTCGGACTGAGCCACCCAACACCAAGTTGTGGGACTCCAGTCGGGATATCAGTCGGTGACAATGAGGCTTTGGACCCTCCTGCTTCTTGTGTAGCAGTGGGTGTCCAGTCCAGGACACTGGTGCTTTTTTATACAAGAGAACAGAGCCAGAACTCAGCCCTCTCCTGCCTTTGGCTCCTTTATACCTGTAAATATGTGAAATAGTGTATATATGACAGAACTTGTACCTGTCACCTCAACTCCTGCCTTGTATATACTGCTCTTTACTCTGCCAACCGCATCTGCCTCTCATGTGGAGTTGATGTAGGGCAGAGTGAGGGAACCAGGTGGTGTCTACCCCATGTTTTATAAGGGATTTTGTACAGTCTTTGTGAAATAAATGCTTCATCTGACCCCCATCCCTGGAATTTGAGGATCAAAGGTATTGGGGTAAAAGGGTGAAACAATTGGTAGCTATTCTGAATTTGGGTACAAAGGCAGATCTTTGCCTTCCCAAATTAGACCCAAGACTATTAATTTAAATGCACTTTCTTTTCGAAGGTAGTAAAGATTAAAACAGATGCAATCAGATAGAAGTTGTGTGATCTGGAGTAGTTACTGTTGGGAAATAGCTTTGACCCTGTAAATAAGTGGGCATGTGACGGTAGCCATGAGGCTGTCCCCTCTAGTAGAGCCAGAAACCCATATAGAAAACAGCCTTCCAAGGGCGGTGGTAGCCCACGCCTTTAATCCCAGCACAGAGAAAGGCGGATCTCTGTGAGGCCAGCCTGGTCTACAAGAGCTAGTTACAGGACAGGCTCCAAAGCTACCGAGAAACCCTGTTTCGAAAAACAAAAGAAAACAGTCTCCATCCATTGTCCAGTGCAAAAACTTCCCATCTGTGTTCCGTTCCTTTACGTGAGGTCACCTGGGCTGAGAAGTTCTTTCCTGATAGCAATCACGTGGAGGAAGTGCGGCGCTAGACTGGTTCAGGGTTATCACGTGAGGTGCTTCCCGCTTAAGTTTTTTTTTACTGAGGCGCAAGCGCAGTTTGCTGCTGCTGCGGGAATCTTAGCGACTCTTCCGGTTGCTTTAGCCAATTGGAACACAGAGAAGCGGGTAGACGGAGCGCACGGAGGGAGTTCTCAGGGCCGCCGGCGCCGTTCTCCCGCGGCAGGGGCGTGGAGGGCAGGGGCGGCCGGCCTCACAAACATGGCTCAGAACAGAGACGGTGGGAACCCGTTCCCCGACTCCGGCGAGCTTGACAATCCCTTTCAGGTGACTTGTGCCGGCCTCCTTTGGGCAGTCTTTCCCCAAATCTGTGGGGTCGGACTCCTATTCCCATTCGTGACATTTGACCCAGGGAAGGAGTGTCTCTACGTGGAGGTTACGGAAGCTCCAGGCCAGTGAGCACTGGGGGGCTAATGGGAAGCGGGCTCTGCCCTTGTAATGAGTGGGTTCTAGCAATATAGGGTGATGGAGTTGAAGGCAAATGTTGGGAACAACGGCGTGTCACCAAGTCTCAGTACTTAGAGCTACCAGCAGTTTGGGGGAAGTTCCTAGGAATTCCCTTGGCATCGAGTGCCCCCTGAACCCAAGTCTCTGCTCTCAGGACCCAGCAGTGATCCAGCACCGACCCAGCCAGCAGTATGCCACGCTTGATGTGTACAACCCTTTTGAGAACCGAGAGGTGAGCAATTAGAGGGAACACAGAAGAGCAGGGGAAGGGAAGTGTGTGAGAAGCTCCGTCTGTGCGTACTGAGGCTTTAAGTGCTGTGTATTTTAGCTCTCTGAGAGACAACATACAATCAGGGCAACCGAGTCATCTAGTTTGGAGTTAGGAAAGTCAGTCCAGGGAGGACCTTCGGTCTGTGGAAAGGCTTACTTGAAGAGAATCGAGGTTGGGGCTTGTCAGGGTTGAGAAACCTGCTTAGGTCTGCAATCAGAGTGCAGACGATGAGGAGGACTAGCAGACATTTGAGAGTAGAGGAGTTAAGGGGAGCACGGGGCTGTAGCTCAGTTGGAGAGGGCTTAATCCCCAGCCCACAGCACTACATAAACAGGATGGAGACACTTGAGAGGTACAGGCAGGAGTAGTCAAAGTCCAGGTCATCGTTGGCTAGTAGCAAGTTGGAGACCAGAGTGGGATGTATGAGACCCTGTCTAAGGAAGTGGGGAAAAGCCGAGTAGCTCAGGTGCTAAAGGCTCAGCCTGAGTTCAGTCCCAGGACCAGTGTGATGGAGAACAGAGCAAGCTCCACAAGTTCTCCTCTGACCTCCACAGCCACACCATTGTTCAAGAGCGGATACACATGAGTAAATAAATGTAATTTTAAAAAGTTAAGGAGGGACTGGAGAGATGGCTCAGCAGATGAGAGCATTGGCTGCTCTTCCAGAGAGTCCCAGGTTCACTTCCCAGCACCCTCATGGCAGCTCGCAACTGTCTGTAACTTCAGTTCCAGGGGATCCGACACCCTAACACATACATGCAGGCAAAACAGAAATACACATGAAATAAATAAATCTTTAAAGAAAAAGTTAAGGAGACAATATGTGGATAAATGCTTCATGTATTACTGAAGCATGGGATAAGAGGCGCGGACAGGACTGCTACAGGTCCTGAAAGAGGTGTCCAACTTAAACTCACACGAAGTAGCTTCCTATTAGGCACATGACACAGGACTACCCAGTGCTTAGACTAAGGCAGGAGGATTGCAAGTTGTAGACTAGCCCAAGTGCCTGTTGTCTCGAAAAAAAAAAAGCAAACAGCAAGGAGGTTCCTGACTGTCGGAGAGGAGCTGCTGATGTGGCAGATAAGGCATGCAGACGAGATCTCGGTGTTACCAGCTGACCTCTGAGGCTTGTTTCCTACAGCCCCCGCCAGCCTATGAGCCTCCTGCCCCAGCCCCAGCCCCTTTGCCGCCACCCTCAGCTCCCACTGTACAGTCCTCAAGGAAGCTCAGCCCTACAGAGCCCAAGAACTACGGCTCCTATAGCACTCAGGTAAGCGGGGGGTGCAGCTGGTAAGGAAAGCAGCCGGCGCTGGTCTGCAGCTCACAACTGCCTCTGCTCCTGTTGTATAGGCTTCTGCTGCAGCTGCCACTGCGGAGCTGATCAAGAAGCAGGAGGAGCTCAACCGGAAGGCAGAGGAGTTGGACCGCCGGGAGCGAGAGCTGCAGCATGTTGGCCTGGGTGGCACAGGTAGTAAGTAGGTCTTGGTAGGTGAGAAAGAACGCTTGATAGTTTGGAAGGAGCTGTGAAAACATCTTAGATCATATGTTCATCAGTCAGGTATTAAAATTGAGTTTAGTTAGAGTTGGCACTGCTTCTTAACCGTGGGATCTTATGCAGTTAAATAATGGGTTTGTTTTTTAAAGATTTATAATATTTTTATTTTGTGCATTTGATTGTTTTACCTGCATGTATGTAGATGCATCCATATCTGTGCTATGTCCATGGAGGCCAGAAGAGAACAGCAGACCCCCCTAGAGCTGAAGTTACAGGCTGTTGTAAACCCTCATGTGGGTGCTGGGAACCAAACACTGCACCTTTGCCAGAGTCATCACTCCAGCCCTGGGCTGGTGGTCTCAGAAATCCCACCACTGAGCCAGGCAGTGGTGGCGCACGCCTTTAATCCCAGCACTCAAAAAACCACCATCAACAGCAAAAAAAAAATCACACCACTGAAGTTTCTTGCTTTTTTTTTTTTCAAGAAGGGTTTTTTCTCTGTAGATTTGGAGCCTTCCCTGGAACTCCTTCTGTAGACCAGGCTGGCCTCGAACTCAGAGATCTGCATGCCTCTGCCTCCTGAGTGCTGGGACTAAAGGCGTGCGCCACCACCCCAGCAGTTTCCTGTTTTCTAAAATGTTCTTATTTTACAAAGTAGGAAATCGTAAGGGTTGAATAAATTTACCTATGCAGAGTTTTTGACACGATCCGCAAATATTGCAGATAGTAACTGTTTGCTTACTCTTTTTCTGTTCTTTGTTTTGTCTTGGAAGGGTCTGTGTAGACCAGGCTGAGCTGGAACTTCCTGTCCTCCTGCCCAGACTCCTCAGTGTGGGATAATAGATGCACTCTGCCATGCCTCCTGCTTTCCACTTTTTGTTTCTTTGGATCCATAACTGAGAAGACAGGAGTGGAGGGAGGAGGGGAGAGTGTCCCTTGCTGATTTACACTTGTTTGTGAGGCCTTCCTCCTGCTTTTTGCCTTACAGCTCGACAGAACAACTGGCCTCCCCTACCATCTGTTTGCCCAGTCCAGCCTTGCTTTTTCCAGGACATCTCCATGGAGATCCCACAAGAATTTCAGAAGACAGTGTCCACCATGTACTACCTCTGGTTGTGTGAGTGTGAGAAGTCTTTTTGGGAGACATTGCAGATAATGTAAATGCCCCAGAGTACACTCTGAAAGCGAGGCCCATTAGGGTTAATCTCTCTCATGGTGTGTGTGTTCTTAGCCCACCCTTCCTTTATCACCACACATAAATGCATTCTGAATTACTGCATATTTTTTTCAAGGAGATCATGCCTGATCTGTGGGGTTCATTCTCTAGGGCATGGGGTGCCATCCTTTCATGCTGCTGCCACACTAGGAAGGCACTTGTGGCGGGCTTCACTGCATTCCAGACAGCCCCTCATCCTGTCCCTCTGCCCCTCAGGCAGCACTTTGGCTCTTGTCCTGAATTTCCTGGCCTGCCTGGCCAGGTTCTGTGTGGACACCAGCAGTGGGTCCGGCTTTGGGCTGTCCATGCTCTGGCTCCTCCTCTTCACCCCCTGCTCCTTCGTCTGCTGGTACCGCCCAATGTATAAGGCTTTCAGGTAGGTGAGGGCCGGGTGGGGGTCTGCAGGGGGTCCCATAGCTGCTTCTCCAACCCAGTCTTAATTCCCCCCCACTTTTTTTCTCTTTGCAGGAGTGATAGTTCATTCAATTTCTTCGTTTTTTTCTTCATTTTCTTCGTCCAGGATGTGTTCTTTGTCCTCCAGGCCATTGGCATCCCAGGGTGGGGCTTCAGGTGTGTGAGTTGCCACCTCTCCTGCCTCGCCTCTTCCTCCCACCCTAGGCAATTCAGTTACGAGGTAGAGTTGTCCAGTAGGGGACATGTGGGCTTTTCCCAAAGAGGCTGATTTAACAAGTCAAGATACTTGGCTAGAGAGCCCAGGGAGCTCTAGACAGGAGCAGCTGAAGAAGTCTTCCTGGGGACGTCCATGTCACCATAGTTGAGAGAAGGGAGCACCCTGAAGTGAGAAGATCCTATTCTGAGTGAGGACGCCAGGAGAGCTAGGAGCTAACGCTTCAGAGATAAGTGTGACAAGATTAGATGGAGTGGGACTGGTTCGTGGAAGGCTGCCATATTGGTGACCACTGATGGGTGTGTTACGATTCACAGCATACCCAGTGAAAACTGGGAAAACAGCCCC